TCTCCTCTCGTGTCTCACGACCATGCGAGAGCTGGACTCCACACTGCTGTGTGTCCCTGAGCCCCACATAGGCCCCACCTCCTGGGCTCCCCCCCACTTCTCTCCATGGGACCTGCTGGCCAGCTCTACTCTCTGCCTAAGTAAGGCCCTTTCTGGGTGGGGTTGGCCTTGAGTGTCCAATCTCTGACTCTACATCTCCCCTCCTCTCCCCCTTATCCTGCCTGGCTGGGCCATCCCTGGAGGGGTTGTAGATATACGGACAACTACCTGACTCTGTGTCCCACGAAAGCTCCTCACTCCACTCGCTCCAGATCCCGTTGTAGCCATCAGGTTTGACCTTGGCCCTCACCCTGGCCCAGTACCTGGTGGAGGGCTCTAGAGGGGGCAGGGCCATGCTGTGGGCGTTCACCAGGGGCTGTGTCTTGCTTTCCTGCAGAGGAGAGGTGGTGGACAAGGGCGGGAGTTAAGACCTTAGTCTGGTATGTGGGCTCAGCTCAAGCTCTCCCTTTCCTACCAACTGGCTTGACCTGCTGACTTCAGCTCTCACTGAAGAAGAAAGCTGTATTGTTCTTTGTCTGGGGTGCCCCTACTCAATGCCCTTGGATATTACCCCTTGGATGGGTGACAATGTCAGGACCCCAGGAGCCTCTGAAGTATCTCTGTCTCCCAGCTTCTCTGGGATTGGGGTGGGGGCACTCGGACCCTGAGACATTGGGGTGTTGGAGCCCACACCATTCTCTAATACTCTTTCCCCTTGTTCTGCCTGGGTACGGGGATGACTCTATGGACTCTGGTCTGGGCCAGGCTCTGTCCACGGGCCAGAGGGAAGCCCAAGGTCAGGGCAGAGACTGAGCCACCTGCTCACCGGAAGCCATCTGCTCTCAGTGTTGCCCAGTGGCCACCAGGGCTCTGCAGCTTCTGAAAAATCCTCCCTGCCCCTCTTATAATGCAGGGTCAGCTGTGCTGATTTTGACCAAGTCACATGACCACTGTGAGCCTCAGTTCCTTCATCAAGAGGTGGACGGTGTCCTGCTGACCATACGGGATCCCGACACTGCTTTCCTGGGTAATCCTTATTCCCCAGCCCCTCCCAACACCATGCCCCTCCCTGCCCCGGGTCGTTACCTCCCATGAGACAGTGTCCTTCCTGTACTGAACCTCGAAGGTGTATGCTATGTGACTGAAGTATTGTTTCTGTGCTTCCCAGTGCAAGAAGTAGCTGTCCTCGTTCTTGGTCACGTTGAGGGTTGGCCTGTCTACCTGGACTGGAGGGTAGGAGAGCTTAATCAGGGGCGTATTCCAGCTTCGACCCTCAAATGCAACATTCCCAGCATTCCCTGCTCATCCCTGGTGCTGTTTCCATTGACCTAGGACCCTCCCATCTTGGGGTCTTTGTCCCTCTTTGCTATCTCAAATGAGTTGCCCTTCTTAGGAGGTGTCCAGAGCCTAGGTAATGCTCAATGTTTCATTCTGTTGTACATAGTGTCGCTATGAGTCAGAACTGACTCAGTGGAGCCTGCAACAACAACAAAGTAAACCTAAAACTGCTACTAGCTGGCTTCGCTCGAAGTATGATGACTGTGTTCCAGTTACACACCTGCTCACTCTGTTTGTATTTTTCACTCAATTCTAACAATAGCCTTATGCACTATATTAACTGTATTACTAACTGCTCACATTTTACAGGTGGGGAAACTGAGGCATAGAGCAACTAAGTAACTTGCTCAAGGATGGTAGCTAACAAGGGGGCAAAGTAAAGGTTGGAATTCTAGCAGTGTAACCCCAAAGTCCTTGGCTGAATCGTTTCATTCCTCTGTCTCAGAGTCTCTGGGATTGAGCTTGATTCTGGATTACTCTCCATGGACGAGGTTTAGGGGCACATCTAAAGGCCAAGACCAGCTCCCAGGATTTCAATACACAGCTCTAGCAGGCTTTCAGCAACACCCAGGTGACACTTTTCCCCAACCAAATAGGAAAGGTGTTGTACACTGCACCTCCCTCATGGGTACCAGACCAGCAAGTTGGAAGAGATTTAAAAAGAGAGAGAGAGAGAGAGAGAGAGAGAGAAGGTACATGGGTTCTCACCTTCAGTTCTGGTTCACTTTCTACTAGCTGTGTGACCTTAAGTAAGACACTCAACCACTCTGAGCTTCTGTTTACTTCTCAGGATAAAAAAAAGAGTGATCTCAACTTGTCAACTTCCAAAAACCAAAATCAAACCAAACTGGTTACCATTGAGCCAATCAAAACTCCTATTAAGCGTGTGTGTTTCAGAGTAGAACTGTACCCACTGGGTCTTTAATGGTCATTATCGTTCAGGAGTAGATTGCCTGGCCTTTCTTCTGAGGTACGCTAGGTGGACTCAAACCTCACCTTTGCTGAAGTAACTGAGTACTTACTAGTTACAGGAACTCTGATAACTTTGCAGGGCTTCTGTAAAAATAATGTGAGCTCTGATAATTTGCTGAGGTCTGTTAGTGCCAAGCGTCTGACTGGGTCCTTTCTATATGTTGTGCACGGGTGCTGGCAGTCTATCTCTACTGACGACCCCAGAGAGTAAGTGGTGGATTCAAACCCAGTGACTAAGACTGACTGACACACATTAATGACTGGATGGAAGACCCTTTGGTCATCCTGAATCAATCCTAGAAGGTTCCTTTCTTTGCATTAGGGTTCTTGCTTCATAAGAGGCATCAGGGATATGAACTTGCTAGGGTCTACAGTCAAATAAAATACACTCCCCAGCTCTCGATGGAAGGGGTAAATTATAGACCAATTCTTTAGTAGATTGACAATGTCAATCAAGGGAAGACTTTGGAAATCATCAAGAGAAAAATCCAATCAGGAGCAGAAAGGGAAAGTTTGATGGAAGGGTCAGGAAGGCATGGTCAATAGTTGATACTTCAGTTGAGCTGCAGAGTTGAAGCACAAGGAATGGGGGAAAGGCTTTAAAGAGTGTTCCTGGGGGTCATCAATGCATCTTCTTTCATATTTTTGGTCATTGTTATTGTTGTATTTGTTGCTTCTTTAGAATTTCAAGAAGGCACTAGAATCACTTTTGCAGAAGATTGGTTGCTGCACTGTGTTTCTTTGGAAGCGACAGGCATGAAGACAGAGTCAGGAGAAGCTCTGGAACCACCCACACAGAAGGCTGTGGGCAAACTCACTGTGATTCGAGCTTTTTATAAGCTTCTCCACCATCTTTGGCTGGACAGAGACCGTGTACTGGTCATGGGTCCTGGGATCCAGCACGGGAATCTTGCACCGGTATCGGGTGTAGGTGTTGCTGATATTCTCCTTCAGTACTGGCGAGCACTCCTTCTCCCTGAGGAGCACAGCTGAGGTGAGCGAGGAAACTCCAGAATGATCTCCACGGAGACAAGGAGGTTAGTCAGGACAAGGCCTGGAAGAGAGGACATGTACTCACCCTGCTTCAGGGCTGGGCTTGTAGAAGAGGGTGAAGGGAATGGAGTGAGACACCTCAGACTTGACTTCCCAGGAGCAACTGAGCACATCGATCCCGTTGAAGAGGCACTGCAGGTTCTGAGGCTGGGCCTCATCCCCTGGAAGGAGACATTCCCTGGTTCATTCCCTGCTCTGCCCCTCATTCATTCCTTCTGTTGCTCTGAGTGAGGGTCCCATGGGAGCATCACAAAGCCACAGCATGAGTCATGAGACCAGCCACAGGGTTTAGAGTGGATTCTTTGAACCTTCCTTCTCTTATGTGTGAAATGGGCAATGTGTCTGTGGGTCAGTGCTTTGGGGATTAAACACAATAGTGTTGCTATGTCCTGCACATAGAAGCCTCATTGCAGTTGACTGCAAGGAACATGATTACTATTCTTACTGCAGTTAGTACCAGCCAGGGAGTGGGCAGAAGAGGGACCCAAGACATTCCCCTGCCTCTGCTAAGTTCAGTGGAGATGAGCTTGGCCCAGGGAAGCTATCACCCATCTGGGACACATCAGACTCCTGGAATCCCACAAGTGTGGACTTGGAAAGCCCTTCTGTTCCAAGGTGGTGATCCACCCTCCCAGCTCATGGCTAACCCTGACCTCTGGCCACTGACCTGGCTGTGAATTCCAATTGACCTCAGAACTCCACTCACTGGGTCGTCCCGAGAGCCCTGTGCCCGGGGCCAGCCATGTCCGCACACGAGCTACGTAGCCGCTGTTGGGCACGAGGTGCTCTGGCCCCAGACTGGCCTGAGAGGAATTGGAGTACAGGGTGGTGGCATCCTGTGGGGAAAAAGGGAGCTGGAGGAGGCCAGGCCAGGTCAGGTCCTGCTGGCTCAGGGCAGAGCTGACCACGGTTCCCTACCTCCCAGGAGTCCTGATGTCGCCGGTAGGCCAGCTCAGACTCCAGGTGCCAGTCGGACAGCCAGCTGGTCTGGTTACCCCCAGGGTTCACCTTCCATGTCAGCAGGAAGCGGTCCCCGGCGACACTGACCAGCAGGTCCTGGGGTGCAGGAGGCTGGACTGGAGGGGCAAAAGTAAAGGACAAGTCAGGGGCCAGGGCAAATGCAGGGAGGGCAAGAACTATCATGACCTTTGATGTGGACAGATCAGCTGAGTGACCCTGGACCAGACATCTCACTTCTATGACCTCTCACTTGTGAAACCTATAGGATCAAATGAAAACACGAACGAAGCTGTGCAGATGCACTGCATAGAATTTGTAAGCTCAGTTACAGGTGCTGACATAAACGAAATTGAGCCACAGTTCATTCTGGGATGCCCCACCTCCCCACAATCTGGTCTCTGTGGCCTCCTTCCCAGCAGAGGGCACTGTGGCTCATGTTCCTCCCTCTTCTCGGTCCACTCTTCTCCTTCTCCACCTGCTGACTTTTCTGTGCAGCTTTCAAAGCCCAGGACAAACTCTTCTCCTCTAGATCCCCTTAGCTAACTGCCTCCTCCCGGTCCGAATCCCTTCCTCCTCTTCTTGTCTTATCACAGTGCTGTTAGGTGCCATGGAATTGACTCAGACTCATGATCACCACATTTACAATATACATTGATCAGTTCTGCACCATCTTCAAAATTGTTGGTATCTTTGGGTCCATTTTTTGTAGCCATTTGGAATGCCACAAGGTCTCACCATAGTCCATTGTAAATCTCTTCACCATGGTACTTATCACACCTGACAGTTTATGTGTTTACCCGTCTGCCTCCCAAAGTAGACAAGAAGTTTAGGGAAGCTGGGGGTGTCTCTCTCGGGGCCTGAGAGGTAGCAGGTTACTGAATTTTGTGGGTGACAGTGAATGAATGAATGAATGAGTGACAGACTTCTCATGAAATCATTGTATCAGCTAACCTGTATCTGCTGGGCTACTGGAACACAGAGATTTGCAATGAAATCTGAAGGGGAACAACAGTGTTGACTTGAGCAACATGTGCAAAGTCTGGAGACAGTGAAGGTGTGGCTGCTGAGCACAGTAGAAACTGCTAGAGGGTTTCCCCATGATGGGAGAATAGAGGGGTGCAGGCAGGCAGGAACCTGAATCTGCAGAGGCTTCTGTGTCCTTCAAAGGAATTTAGGGTCCACCCCCAGGCCATGGACAGTCATTTAAGGGGTGTGATGTGATCTGATATTATTGGGAATGGGCACTGTGTACATGTATTAATGAATGATACAGCACCTACCTCTTGAAACACCCAATCTGATTGTTGAGGGGTGACTTTTCAAACACAAAAAATTCAATAACAGTACAGATAAGATGGGTTTTACGCTGTGCGTGGATCCTGGTGTGTTAGAACAAGCTAGAACTAGAGTCTTGCATAATTCCTAGAATCCAGAATGGTGATACAGTGGCCACAAACCATCCCCTTCCAATCCACAGCCAGGACAGGCATCACTAATCGATCACTACTCTCTTAGCCCCTGAGTTCATCCTGGTGTGGAAATCTTCCTCAGCATACAGCTCTAGAAAGCTGCTACCAACAGAATAGACCGGGAACCAAACGTAATCATCTAACCTCAGAAATTAAGTCCAAGTACTTATTTCACTAATGAAGAAACTGATAGAGGAAGTGAAATGTCCCAGATCTTCAAATGTGGGAACCTCAGAGAAGACCGGTGCTAATCTGCCCTGTTCACTTCTCCTCAGGGTCTCCCTGATTCATTGCAAAACTCCGTGGGCTGTATCAGAGCTCCCTATTCAACAGGTGCTCTAGAAGGAAACGCCCATGCTTTTCCCACCCCATTCCTAAGTTGTTCCTGATTCCTCCAGAGTGAAGCCTTTGCTGTTCCCACCGTGGGATGCTGACTAACTTGTTCACCGCTCCCCTAGAAGCTTAAACATGAGTGAAGTAATGCATGAATCACCTCTGTTTTCTTACCATGCTTTGTAAACCCAACCCTAGGTCTCAGAGGCCTGGTGGCACGGTGGTTAAGTGTTCAGCACATAACTGAAAGGTCAATGACTCAAACCTACCAGCTGCTCTGTTAGAGAAAAATGTGACAGTCAGCTTCTGCAAAAATTACAACCTTGGAAACTCTATGGTGCAGGTCTGTCTACTCTGTTCTGTAGGAATTTGATGAATGAGAATCAACTCAAATCACAATGGGTTTTCTCTAGGTCCTTGGGTGGTGCCAATGGTTTGCTCTAATCTGCATCAGTACAAATGTTACTGGTTCAAACCCACCCAGTTATGCTGCGGGAGAAAGACCTGGGGATCTTCTGTTTCAGATTCTATGGAGCAGTGCTCCTCTGTAACACACAATCCTCATGAGTCAGAATCCACTCAACAGATTGCTGTTGAATGGATCCTGGCTCATGATCTCTGAGTGGCACAAGTTTTTTTGCACTTGACCAAAAGTTGGCAGTTCAAACCTACCCAGAGGAGCAGTGGGAGAACGGCCCAGCAACCTGCATTCATAAAGATTATAGCCTGTGGAGCAGTTCTACTCTTAGAGCTGGGGTGACCATGAATGGGAATTGATTCAGTGACAAACCGTCTGAAATTCTTGCTAGGGATTTGTTGTTATTATGTGCCATGGAGTCAGTTCTGATTCATAGCAACCCTGTACAGGGCATCTGAGGCTGTAAATCTTTACAGGAGTAGAAAGTCTCATCTTTCTCCCACCGAACAGCTGGTAGTTTTGAACTGCTGACCATGAGATTACCAGCCCAATGCTACCAGAGCTCCTTTGCCAGGGACTTAGATCACTAATAAATTCCAGCCAGTTCCTCACTTCCCCACCTTTCCAAACTAGCCTACATAGTGCCCATTAGCAGTAATATCTGATCAGATCACTCCTCTTCAATGACCGTCCATGGCTGGGGATGAGCCCTAAAGTCCTTTGAAGGACAAACAGCCTCTCCAGATTCAGGCTCCTGCCTGCCTGCTTCCCTCTCTTCTCCCATTACTGGGCAACACTCTACAGATGATATTCTGCTCAGTAGCCACACCCTCCCTGTCTCTGACATTTGCACATGTTGTTCCTACTCCACACTCTTAAAACTCTTTCCTCTGGGCAGCCTGTCCTGCTATCCCCAGAACTTCTTGCCTTCTTCCCCTCTGCATGGGGCACACACCTGCCCACAGTATGCTAGCTCTCCTTCTATGTCTACCACTTCCCCACCTCTAGCCCGTGCTGTCTGAGCTCTATTCAGGAGGAAAATCTTTCTCATTCACCAAACACGTGTTTGGAAACATTGTTAGAAATTAATTCAGCATGGCCTAACCCAACCAACCCTTCCAGGCAAAAGAGGCAAGGAGCAAAGGCCAGAACCCACTCCCCACTGGATGCCTACAAGGGGCAGCTGGTGGCCCAGTGTTTTGGATCCAGGATGCTAACATCAGACACCAACAGCTGAGTAACCTTGGGCAAGTCTCCACCCTTTCTCAGCCTTAGTTTTGTCATCATTAAAATGGGGTCACAAAATAGCATATGACACCAAGCATAATTTTAAGAATTAGGCCGTGTTCCCTAAAACCTGCATGATTTAAAAAATGGCCCCTGTCATTATTTTAGGCTCATTCTGAGCACACATGTCATCGAATCAATGAGAATGAGAGTGAAGTGTCATTGAAGGTTCCTCTAATATAAATCAAATGTGGCCTCACTGCTTCTATAAAAAGGATCATCACCACCCATCCAAGACCAGGCATCATCTCATGTGTCCCTGAGGGCAGGCAGGGGAACACTGGGGGTCCTTCAAAGGTGCTGAGTCCCATCTCTACATGCAGGAAGCTCTCAGTATGTCTGACAGACCACGCTTACTATTGCCCAGTAGTGGGACTTTGGGAAAATGACCCCACCAGCTGCTCCTTGGTAATTATGAGTTGGAACTGACACAACAGCACTTAACAACAACAAACTTCTCTGGACCTCAGTACAACATCTATAAATGGGTTGTTGCACAAGGTGATGAGACTACACTGATGAATGAGGTTTGCAAGCTGTATGTGATGCTTCTACTTTACTAGGAAGGGAAGGCTTCAGTGCAGGCAGCCAATGGCCTGACAGGTGGTGGGCGTAGCCAGAGCCGGGAGGTGGTCCCTTTATCAAGAGCCTTCTCAAGCTCTTCCTTCTCCAGCGTTTCCATGAGCAGAGACAATGAGGGGACCACAACATCTAACCTCAAGAGACCCAACCCAACCCCAACCCAGTGTCTCCACCCTTTGAAGACCCTGACTCTCTGGTCCACCTCCTGAAGTCAGGCCACCCCTGATGACCACAGTCTAGACAGGACATCAAACCCTGTCCAGGGACCCTCACCATGCTGAGTCAGGGTAACACTGAGCTGGGCTCCCAGTGGTCTGTTTGGCTGGAAGGAGAAGTAGTCATTGAGGCCGAGGGCAAAGTTCTTTTGGTGAATAACACAACTTCTGGGCACACAGGGTGAAGATGGACAGTCTGACCAGGGCTCGTCATCACTGAGCTTACAGGACACTGGCTGTGGATGATCACTACCAGGAGGAGACATGTGTTAATCCAAGGTGAATGAGAATCCTTGTTCACACACACTTACAGACAGGAACCCGTGTGCCTGGGGAGCGGACATTCTGGAGAAGGAGACAGACACTGAACAAGTGAATGAAGTAAGGAGTATGTTAGATTGAGCAAAGGCTGTGAAGAGAGAGCAGGAGAGGGGATAAGAAGGTTGGGAGAATAGTGACAGGGGATGCAATGTAAAAAAAAAAGTGGACAGAAACTTGAAGGAGATGATGGGAAAGGGAAGTTCAGGAAGAGGTAACAACATGTGCAAAGGCCCTGGGGTAGGTCCAGTCTGAAGTATAAGAGGAAGAGACAGCCAGTGTGTGTGAGGCAGAGTATGTGAGTTTGAGGAGCTTCTTTTCTGGGGGTGTCCATGGGCAGTAAGAAGCAGGACACAGGGTGAGGATGACGCTAGGGGCAGGGTCTGAGGACAGTGGAGGACATGAGCTGGAGACATCCAGGGCCAGAAGAGAGAACGTGAATGTGGAGGCAATGGGGGCAGGGGTGGGCGGGGCAGGACAATTCTGCAGGTGGGGTGCAGCCTCCAGGCAGGAGGAGGATCTTCCTGCTTGGAGACTTTTCAGTTTTGTTTCTAATATTTTATGTTTGTTGTTGAGACTGTGCGCCAGCTGAACAGTTTCAATATTACAATTCAATGACATTAATTAATGCCGTGTGTGGTGCAGCCTTTTCTGAGTTGTCCTTGCCCTTCTATCCAGATATTGATTTATCTATACTGGGGCTGGTTTACTCTCATCGACATGCAGGAGACAGGGGATGAGAAAGGGGCAGATTCACAGGTTAAGAAGTCAGGAGACCTTAGAGCCCATACCTCACAAGAGACCAGGGCAGGGGCATCGGGTTCCTCCTCTGGGAACTAGACATCCTAGATAAAGACCTTTGTGTGGATTATTTTATAGTCCTGTCTCCCACCCCCCACCCCCTGATTCTAGGCCTCTCCCCACTCTTCAGGCCCTCCTGGGATCACTCACTTGTTCACTCGGTGGTAAAGGGTCACATTGATGAGCCGCTGGCCAGCCTCAGTGTCTGTCCACCTGCACTTGATGTGACTGTTGTAGTCATTGAAACAGCGCAGGCTTTTAAGGGGGACAGTTTCTGACCAGGGAGAGGAAAACAGATCACCACTGACTGCCATCAGATGTCCCTCAGCACCTCCCTTCCCAGTGCCCCCAGGTGCCCTGTGCTGGGGAGGAGTTCCCATATGCCAGGTAGAAGTAGGGGCCTGGTTGTCAATCAGTCACTTCGGATGATAGCTCATTTTCTGAGCTCTGCTCTGGGGCCCCTAGGGCAGTTCCAGAGTAGGGAGATACATCAGACCCACTGCATGACCTGGAAGGGCACTCCAAACCCAGTCCTAGATTTAGCAGGGCAGAGTCCAAACCCTGGGACCTCCCTCCTTTGGCCCCTCCGGGAAGCTATGAGTGGAGATTCACGCTGTCCCAAGAGCCAGAGGATCTCCCAGCAAGGCCTCCAAGCATCAGGAGGAGGTTGCTGAGGCCAAAGTCAGGGAGAGAATCCAGGCAGAGGACACTGCAGGATCAAAGGCACTAGGGCAGGACCTGGAAGCTACCCAGAGGATGGAGGGTCAGAGGGAAGCCTGGAGCAACCACGTGGAGGCCAGAGCTTCCAAGGCCACACTGAGAACTGAGGGCAGACAGGGGGCATAGCCTGAGGTGACTTTCCCAGGAAACCAGACAAGGAGAGCTGGAGTGTGCAGAGAGAGGGGATGGGCAGCCAGGGAGGAGTAGTGGCTGGTGGCTGTGTGCCATTGAGTCAGTTCCGACTCATAGCGACACTGTACAGGGTTTCCGAGGCTGTAAATCTTTACGGAAGCAGAAAGCCTCATCTTTCTCCCACGGAACAGCTGGTAGTTTTGAACTGCTGCCCTTTGTTTAGGGGAGGAAGATTGAGGGAAGGGAGCTAGGAGGAAGGACAGAGCCACTGTGACTCTGCAGCTTCCTCAGGTCCCTGCAGGGGGCATCTCACCGGCCAGTAGAGAAAGGAAACAATGGGACTCACCTTGGGCTCTTCCCTTGCTGGTTGCCCAGCACAGTGTCAACAGGACAGTGGGGAGCAACCCCTGGACCAGTGCCATCTCCCTGGTCAGCTCTGAATGGTGTGTCCAGGCTGTGGGTAGGGCCTGCCCAGGAATCTTCTGTTCCTATCAGGCTGGTGACCAGGTCTGGCTCATGTCACTGGCTCTTGTGGCTCCTCATTCCAGGACTCTGTCTCTTCAGGAGGTTACAGAAGGAGCTGTCAGCTAAGAGCTGCCCTCCCCTCCTGCAGCCCCAGGGACCCAACTGTGATGGACATGACCCTAGGGTTAGGACCCAGGCTAGCAGACTGGGACTGTCCATTCCCCTTGGGCCTCAGTTCCCTAGTGTGTGACTGTGAGGGACACAGGCTTGATGGCCTCTGAGTCTGGGAGCCCCCACTAGGTCATACAACAGTCATGTGTGCAGTAACTTGCTCTTGGGGACCCCAGGAGGCAGCCTGGCTTTGATCAATTTCCCAAAAACCCCTGCCTACTTCCACTTTGGGGAGTCACTGTACTGGATGTGAGCTACCGATATGACATTACACACACACACAGATAGGAACACTCAGAGCCTGGTGCTCACTCTACCCCCTCTATTTACTGTCATCCTTCCCTCCCCAACCTCAGAAAGCCAGTTCCCTTTTGTCTCCACTCAGCCGGGGATTTCCTTGTTTTCTTGCCCTTAGACCTAGGGAAATACCCAGGACACTGTAACAGAGAGGACCACGACTCCTTTTTGTCCAGCAAGATTGTCTAAACCCACCCAGGATGCACATTTCCCAGGGTAAGTGTGGTCTGGGCTACGCTGAACTCCAATGCAAGCTCTGTAGTTGAATGAACTCTTCAGTGCTCCTTGAACCCCACTTTCTGCATCATAAATGGGCACACATATCTCACACAGATGTTGTGGGAACTCAGTGAGAGGTTGTGGTTGGTCCAGTAAATGCTTGGAAAAGAGGAAGCTTGTTCAGGGCTGGGAAAGAGAATTTGTTCCCTTAAGCATCTAAAGATTGGGTGTGATTGTCAGAGGGCAGGTGTGTGAGAGTCCATGTGGGCTGCGGTGCCTGTCAGTATCTAGCTGAAGAATTCCCAATGAAAACCACTGTATGTAGCCAAAGAGGATTTCATTCCAAAGTCAGTTAAAAGTGTAACACAATTTCAGTCAAAAGCTAGCAAGGGGCTTTCATGGAACTTGTGAGGAAAGTTACTGGGATTTTTTAAAGTAATAAAGATCGACCCAATAGCAAAATGCATTACAAGATGTGGTAAGCAAGACAGTGTGTTGTTGTCACACACACACACAATAAATTTCTATTCAACCCAAGAATTTACTCTATGTTGAATGAAGAATCATGAATTAATAATGGATTTTCAAGAGGAGTAAAATAATTGAATCACAATAGAAGACCTATCATCTTAAATCCCCATCTCACACCACCTTGAAGGTTAGTTTTAAAAAAAAAAGTAATGAGTTAAAACGTATCAAATGTATAAACTATAGAAATGAATATCTTTGATCGGTGCTTAAAAACAGAAATAAGAGAATTAAAGTCTGGCAGATGCTGCTATATAAAAGCAAAAAAAAAAACAAAAAAACAAAAACAAAACAAAAAAACCTCCTTTACTTAATTGTTGTTTTTGTTAAGTGCTGTCAAATTGGTTCTAACTCATAGTGACCCAAATATAGGGCTTCAGAGATGAAAATTTGCAGGGAGCAGAAAGCCTTCTCTTTCTCCCACAGAGTAGCTGGTGGACTCGAACTGCTGACCTTGTGGTTCGCAGTCCAATGCTTATCCTACAGAAAACTATCCACAACATGAAGCAAAGAATAAACTATGAAAGATTATTTGGATTGAAGTTACAGAGATCAGGTATGGAAGTCATGAAGTGGCACTGTGAGTTAATGCACTGGACTGCAAGGTCGGTTTGAACCTCAAGGTCATCAGTTCAAGCTCACCAGTTACTCCTCAGAAACCCTATGCAGGGTCACTATAAAAGATTCATACAAACTGATTAGTCATCAGATAACATGAGTAGAAAATTTACACACGTAGAGAATTCATGTTAGTTACTGACATTTATTGAATGTTTTTCAAGATCCAGGCATTGTTCAAAGGGCTTTTTGGGATTAACAGGAGCACATGTAGGGTACTGGAATGCTCATCTTAAGATGAGGTCATGGTGGCTATGTGCCATGGAGTCGATTCCAACTCATAGCGACCTGTACAGGGTTTCCGAGGCTATAAATCTTTACGGGAGCAGAAAGCTTCATCTTTCTCCCACGGAACAGCTGGTAGTTCGAAGACAAGATTAAAGGCATTTTAGACCTTGCCCAGGATCCCACAGCTAGTAAGGAAGAGGATGGGCCTGAGACCCACAGAAGGTTTGCCTCCAGAGTCTGGGCCCTCAATCACTGCAACAATAAAAGTTGTATCCCCAAGCATCGGTTTCAGACTTGTCTATTCTGGCATATACCTACCCAACAGGCACTCCTACAGATAGGTACAGTCCAGAAGGAACAACAGAAAACTTTTAAACAATTAAATTAGCATCCTCAGGGGATTTTAGTAAAATCATAGCTATTTTAAAGAACAGACTGCTATATAAAACAAAACAAAACAAAACCCCACCAAACCAAATCAAAACAGAGTTCTTGAACTTGGAAGTATGTAATCCATAATTAAAACAAAACCAAAAAAAGTCTCAATGATGGTCCAAATCACTGAATGAACACTACAGACAATCATGAACAGCGGTAGACGTTGAAGACAAGGGATGCTCCTAAAATTCAGAGTAAGTGGACAAAGAGATGGGTAGTCATTGAGGAAAGTTGAGACCTGGTGATGAATTCCAAGGTTCTTACACCCAGCAGCAAAGAGTAGTGAGAATCGACAGCAGGTGTGGTAGACAGTGTCTGCTATCTACCTGCCCCTTTCCTTCTCGGTAATGGAAGTCAAGGTTTTAGCTTGTACTTTGTACTTCCTAGATTCTCTTGATGTGATTAAATGATGTGAGCAGAATCATTGGTTGTACCCTCCAAAAAGGCTGCTTAAAGGGAGTTGCTTCAGGTAGGAGGGGTCCCTTCTGTTTTTCCTCCAGTCTGCAGCGCAGATGTGATGGTTGGAGCACCAGCAGCCATCTTGAACCATAAGGTTACTTTGAAGCCATATGCAAAGATGATGAAACAGGAGAGGAGTTTGGGTCCCCCATGACAGTGAAACAACTACACCAGTCTGAGACTGCCTATCTCTGGACATCTCTTATGTGAGGGAGAAATAAACTTCTATGTTATTTAAGCCACTATTGTTTGGGGATTTTCCATGTTCAGCCAAATAACTACAACTGGAACTAATAGAAGAGAACTTTACAGGACTTGAAAAGAAACAGAGTCCAATAAGTCATAACCAGTCACACACTGGTGACATTTCAGTTCTCCAAGAATAAAAGGGAAATCCTAGAAGCCTCCAGAAGAAAACTGAACAACGACAAACTGGTTACCTTCAATGGAAAAAAAGGTTGGGTAGGCATGGGATTTCTCATGATCGACACTGAACTGTAAATAGATAATGGTTTATAAAATACTGAGAGAAAATATTTTTAAACTTAGAAGCACAACAACAACAAACTGTTCTTTGAAGTGTAAAGGTAAAGAGAAAAAACAAACATAAAAACATTCAAAATACACATGCATTCACAAAAATGCCTACACAAATCTACACATTTTAGATATGTAACTACAAAGAAAAGTTTTCTATTCTGAGAGAAGAGAGAGAGAGAGAAATTATAGGATACATTTCAGGAGGAAAAAATCCGAGAAAGATCCAATACTAGAAAACAGTATTTAGCAAATAAACCAGTAAGACTTGTAGGTAAGTAAAGAGTTTCTACTGCATAAAATAAAAATAAATAGATACATAGTAAAACAATGAAGTCCTGGTGTGGTGCTGTAGGATCAGCATTGGACTGCTAACCATAAGGTTGGTGGTTCAAACCACGAGCTGCTCCTCAAAAACCCTATACAAGATCCCTAAGAGTCAGAACTGACTCAATGGTGCTTAACAACAACAACATATTAACAATATAGAACTAAAACCTAGATGATTTTAATGTGGCGGTAGGTAAGAAGAGAATTGAAAACTTGCTAAGGACCTAGTCTTTTTTGGAAGAGAATATGCTGGAAAAGATGTCTATTAAATACGCAAATTCAAACCTAAGGATGAACTGTTATTAAGTGTGAGGGGTAAGCATGAGGGCAGAAGAACGAAAGAGACAGTGAGTAAGAGTGTGTGAGAGAGAGATCATGAGAAAAAGAAAGGAAAAGAAAGAGGATGAGAGAAAGAAGAAACAAACACTTTCATACTAAAAGACAAAAATCCCCAAGCTCTTGAAGAAATTTAAGGGTAGAAATGAAAGATGAGAATAGAAAAAACAATACAAAAATTCACTCCAGCCAAAAACGATTTCATAGAACAATCTGATAAAGACTTCTAAAATAAGAATACATCATGACCAGTTACAGATTATTCCAGAAATGCAAGAAGGACCATTAGGAATTCTTCATGTAATTGAGAACATTACCAGCTTTATAATTTTTTAAAAAAAGAAGAAAAGAACAAGTTTATCTTGGCAGATGCCACCCCAAATATTTGAAAATACATAAGTCATCCTTGACTAAACAAGAAACTTCTTGGCAGATGAAGAGTTCAAGGAATTCTTATTTCAGTCTACCAGAAATCTGTGATGAATGTCAGAAATGAAATGGAAGCATCAAGACCTGCTCCCTTTCCCCTCATCAAAGGTACAGAAAGAGAAATCACCCACTTCTATATTTTCCAAAGGCCAATTCTTCTCTTAAAGATGATCTGAATTCAATGCAATTTAAATCAAAATTTCAAAAGGACTGGACAAACTGATTCTAAAATCAAAACAAATCAAAGATGGGAGACCTGCTCTATTAATTAATTAGCCCCATGCGGTCTGAGAATATAGCTGTATACAAATGGAACAGAAAAGAGTGAGAAAAAAAATAATCAAGTAGTAATGCGTCAGACTGCAAA